AATGTTCTCTACTCAAACAAAGACGTTTAATGCACGATAGGCAGAGGGTGGTAAGTTGATAGCAGTGCCATAACAACATAACCTCACTATGTTTTGCCGTTTCCTGTGTTTTTAATCAAAAAAAGTGTTTTTTTATTCAGGATTGTATTGATTAAAGTTTTTTCACTAATACATTTTTTTTGGGTACTTTAATTTCTTTAGGATGACTGCTTAATATGCCTTTTAAAAACAATTAAAATATTTCACATAAGCAATTCTACACAAGAAAAATAACCAAAAAGCATTATGGAAGTCTGATTCTCAATTGTGGATTATTAACACATTTTTAACAAACCAATCACTCTCTTTCCTACTCTAAGGACTGGTCGTTTAAAACTCAAATATCTAGTGATATTTCTAGGGTTATTTTAGGGAGTTTTCTGTCAAATGTCAAATTACACATTTCCATAATAAAACAAATGCTTCTAATTTGTTGTTATACAAGTTTTTATTGTTTGTAAAGCTTCTCAAAGTATTTTCGAGTTACTTAATGCAAAAATTCTGTGTTTATTAAATATAAGTAGTAAAGTTTTCGTGCACTATGGAACAAATAGTGGTTAAAAAAGAACCTGTCGACAATTTCGATGGAACAAGTACATCTGCTGACCAGGAAACGCTTTTAACCCCTGGGATAGCAATAAAACAAGAGATCAAAGAATTGGATGATGGCGACAAATCCATGGTTTACGATGAATCTGGGGTGAAAGAAGAATCGGAAATGTCCACAGATGTGGAATACGATTTTGATGAAGCCGAGCAAGTCTTAATGAAATTTGAAGCCGAAGACGAAACGTTTCTTGATCAAGGGTAAGCATGGTTGCCACTTCATGCATTATCACCGTGGCAACAGTTGTTTGATTGTTGACATGTTGAAACATGCTTGCTCTTGTTGCAAAACAGCCTGCTTGTTTTAAGTTTTGAATAAAGGTGTTTTAAGCTATTTCAAGTAATTTTAGATCTGAAATCAACGATGGTGATGAAGAAAGTGATATGAGTGGCAATGAAAAGTTGTTTAGGTGTGAGATTTGTTTTAATCAATATAAAACAAAGAGTGGTTTGCGTAAACATAAAAAGTATTTTCATGGAAAAGACAAGCTGGAAAAATTTAAATGTGATAAATGTGATTATGTCACTGTGAGAAAATATTATATTAAAAATCATTTAAAAAGTCACGACAAGAATGTCAAATGGTATAATTGTGGAGTTTGCCAATATAAAAGTACTTTAAAAATTAATTTAACAAATCATTTGAAATCTCACAACAAAATAAAAGAAATAAAATGTTTATTTTGCAAACATAAAACAAATTCAAAACAAAGTTTAGACAACCATATTTTAAGTAAACATGCGTGGAACAGAGACATTACATATTTAATCACTTCCAAAGTGCACAAATGCCAAAAATGTAAATTTAAAAGTACTTTTGCATATAGTTTTAAAAAACATTTAAAAACTAAACATTGATTAAATAATTTAGGTATGTTTTTTGAAAATCGAATAAAAATGTTAACAATTTTCATTTAAATACTTGTTTTACTTAAATTTACCTTTTAACATCTCCAATTTAAAAAAAACAATGTTCTCTACCCGAACAAAGACATTTAATGCACGATAGTTCCTCATCAGAGGGTGTTAAGTTGGTAGCAGTGCCATAACAACATAACCTCACTATTACAAGTTTTCCCGTTTCCAGCGTATTTTTAACAAAAAAAAATGGATTTTAGAGGTGAGTATTGGACAGTGTTGCCAAGTCGGTGCATATTGCACTAGATCTGGTGGATTGAACCTCCATCTAGTGCCCGGAATTCGATTTTGGTGCGCTAGTGCAAAATCTAGTGCATCATCGATCATTAACCAAATTTGGTAAATAACAAATATCAATGAAAAGGCGTTTATACAATGGTTTTATTTTCATAATTTTTCAATCATACAACTCAGCCACAACTCACATTTCCTTCAGAAAATCTGAATACGCCCCTGTCCAACAGTCCACCATGCTGACGGCCGTTGTGTTGGTAGCATACCTGTGGTGCAGTGTTGCCAATGACCGTGCAATTGCACGGTTTGCGTGCGTTTTCATGCCTGACCGTGCATTTTGCGAACATCGTGAGAAACCGTGCCTTTTGCGTGCGTTTTGAACATACGACATTAAAACATTTAAAAAAATACAATCTAAAATACAATTAGAAACTTGGCAACATTAAAATTAAAAAAAAAAAGAAAATGCAATTGGAAACTTGGCAACTTGACATTGTGGGCGGGGTCAGCAGTACAATTTAAATTTGCCGGTATTTATAGTGCGTAAGTCACAAAAAAGATGGCGTGAGCAATGCTTACTGGGTAGAATCCTTCTACGCAGGCTCACTGAGCATGCGCCTAAGACACTAGTCACTAGAGTCTAGTAGAGAAGAGGGCAACATTAAATGTTAATAGGTATACATCTACGTACCTAAATAGGTATAGGTAGTAGTATATAGGTATAGGTAGTAGTACTACCGTAGTACCATAATGATTGAACAGTGATAGTATTGATTTATCTAAATTTACACCCAAATCACACCACATTAAAAAATTGTAGAAAATTATACGCCCCTGCTCATTTATTATAGAAACAATATTTCTATGAAACTGCTTAAAAATTTAAAAAAATAGTAGGTACTTTTATAACACAAATAAAAAATACTGCGTGCAAAACTTGTGCATTTTGATTCCTGGCCCAGGAATCCTGGGACCGTGCAAAACCGTGCGTTTTGGAGCACTTCACCGTGCAATCTAACAAATGTTCATTGGCAACACTGCTGTGGTGGTAGTACCCCTAAACTTGGTTTATAAACCCTATAGGGTAGTATCACAGATTATAAATGTAGTACTGCGCTGCCGCTGCTCTGCGATTGGCTTGATTGTTGAATTCTTTCACAGAACCTCTGTTTCGATGTATTATTTTTCTATGTTTGTTTCAAAAAACAAAAGAATTCTAGTATGGTATATTCTTATTCTGTGGAATAGTATATTCTTTTCTATGGTATGGTCTAGTTCTATAGTGATTAATTAATCAGCGCTTTATTGTGTTTATACTTTTTGATGCCGGAACCAGCAACAATGTCGAGCAGTGTGGCTAAAGGACCCTGCCCTAAAGCAATGGCTTACCAGTGTGGAAATGCCTATGCTTAAAATAAAGTTTAATTTTGAAATTATTTCATGGTTGCTCATTCATACATTGTGTTCATCTAGAGTGAAATTCAGACTACTGCATAGATTACACCAAAGTGAATTTGGTGCTTTTCTAGTGCATTTTTTATTGCTATATAGTGCATAGCTACTTCAAGCAGTTGGCAACACTGGTATTGGATGAATTGGTGCAATTTGCGTTTATTAATGGCTTCAAAGGGTTCTTACATCAAGAATTACCCCTCAAAAAAAAAGTCTGGTGAATTATATTTTGCATTTAAAACCTTTTAAAATTTTATAACCATAATTTTTTTTGTGGGGAAATAACCTAAACGCATTATGGATTCTCAATTGTGGATTATTAACACATTTCTTCTAACAGACCGAGCACTCTCTTTCCTACTCTAAGGACTGGCCGTTTGAAATTCAAATATCAAAATAGACATTTCTATAATAAAAACAAATGCTTCTAATTCGTTGTTTGAGGGTTTATACAAATTTTTGTTGTTTTTAAAGCTTCTCAAAGTGTTTTCGAGTTATTTAATGCAAAAATTCTGTGTTTATTGAATATAAGTAGTAAAGTTTTCGTGCACTATGGAACAAATAGTCGTTAAAAAAGAACCTGTCGACAATTTCGATAGAACAAGTACATCTGCTGACCTGGAAACGCCTTTAACATCTGGGATAGCAATAAAACAAGAGATCAAAGAAGAAATGGATGTAAGTGATGAATTTGGAGTGAAAGAAGATTTTGAAGGATTCGAAATGAAATTTGAAGCTGAAGACGAAACGTTTCTTGACCAAAAGTAAGCATGGTTGCCAATTAATGCATTATCACCCTGGCAACAGTTGTTTGACAGTTGGCATGTTGAAACATGCAGCTCCTATCACAAAACAGCCTTTACTATTGTTTTAAGTCTTGATTAAAGGTATTTTAAGCTATTTTAAGTAATTTTAGATATAAAATCAACGATTGTGATGAAGAAAGTAACAATTGTGATGATGATGAGGAGGAAGGAAGGGACGTTAAGTTTTCTGAAGAAGATGATACACATTCAACTGTTTATAAATCATCAATTGATGGACACATAAATAGATGTTTAAAATTAGAAAATATCAAATGGTATAAATGTGGAGTTTGCTACTACAAAAGTACTCTAAAAATTAGTTTAAAAACTCATATGAAATCCCACAAAATAAAAGAATTCAAATGTTTATTTTGCAAATATAAAACTAATACAAAACAAAGTTTAGACAACCATATTTTAATTAAACATTTACATTTGTTAAATGAATCCAATCAAAATTTCATCACTTCCAAAGTGCACGAATGTCAACATTGTAAATATAAAACTACCATTACAAATAGTTTAAAAAATCATTTAAATAGTAATCATTGATTAAATAATTCAGGTATGTTTTTTGAAAATCGAATAAAAATGTTAACAATTTTCATTTAAATGCTTGTTTTACTTAAATTTACCTTTTAACATCTCCATTTTATAAAAAAAAATAATGTTCTCCACTCGAACAAAGACACTTAATGCACGATAGTTCCTCATTAGTGGGTGTTAAGTTGGTAGCAGTGCCGTAACAACATAACCTCACTATTACATGTTTTGCCGTTTCCCGTGTTTTTTCAGCAAAAAAATGGATTTTAGAGGGAAGTATTGGATAAGTTGTGTACATCACTCACCGGCGATTTAAAATTGGCCTGTAATATATTTTGTCATTAAGAGTGTTTTTATATTTATTGAATTATTTATCTCTTCCCTACTCCAAGGTCTGCATGTTTGCAATTCAAACTATCTGGTGATATTTAAGGTTATTCTAGTGAGTTTTCTGTCAAATATCAAAATAGACATTTCCATAATAAAAACAAATGCTTCTAATTCGTTGTTTGAGGGTTTATAAAAGTTTTTGTTGTTTTTAAAGCTTCTCAAAGTATTTTCGAGTTACTTAATGCAAAAATTCTGTGTTTATTAAATATAAGTAGTAAAGTTTTCGTGCACTATGGAACAAATAGTCGTTAAAAAAGAACCTGTCGACAATTTCGATGGAACAAGTACATCTGCTGACCAGGAAACGCCTTTAACCTCTGGGACAGCAATAAAACAAGAGATCAAAGAATTGGATGATGGCGACAAATCCATGGTTTACGATGAATCGGGGGTGAAAGAAGAATCGGAAATGTCCGCAGATGTAGAAGACGATTTTGATGAAGACGAGCAAGTCGTAGTGAAAATTAAAGCCGAAGAAGAAACGATTCTTGACCAAGGGTAAGCAGTGTTGCCACTTAATGCATTATCACCATGGCAACAGTTGTTTGATTGTTGACATGTTGAAACATGCTTGCTCTTGTTGCAAAACAGCCTGCTTGTTTTAAGTTTTGAATAAAGGTGTTTTAAGCTATTTTAAGTAATTTTAGATCTGAAATCAACGATGGTGATGAAGGAAGTGACAATTGTGGCGTGTTTGAGACAAAAATCGAGGTGGAATATCATGGGGTTGAATGTAATGATATAAGTGGCAATAAAAAGTTGTTTAAGTGTGAGATTTGTTTTAAACAATATAAAACACAGAGGGGTTTACTTCAGCATAAAAAATTATGTCATGAGAAAGATGTAGTGAAAATATTTAAATGTGATAAGTGCGATTTTGTGACCATGACAAAAAAGAGTGTGAAACCGCATTTAAAAATTCACGACAAAGAAAGTTACTTAAAATGCCAATTTTGCCAGTACAAGGCTGCCGAGTTAAAGAGTTTAAGTGCACACATTTTAGGAAAACATAAGTTAGAAAATAAAACAAAAATAACAAGTAAAATACATGAGTGCCCAAATTGTTCGTATTCGACTGTTTATAAATCATCAATGAACAGGCACATAAAAAAATGTTTGAAAGTAAAACAGGTAAAGTCGTATGAATGTGAGATTTGCCATTATAAAACCGTTAAAAAACATCATTTAGCATCTCACGTAAAAATCCATAACGAAACAAAAGAATTTAAATGTCCTTTTTGTCCTCATCAAAGTAATGTAAAACGAGATTTTGACAACCACATTTTAAGAAAACATTCGTGGAACAAAGACAACAAAAATTTAATCACCTCCAGAGTGTATGATTGCCAACATTGCAAATATAAAACCACTGTGGCACTTCATTTAAAAAACCATCTAAAATGTAAACATTGATTAAATAATTTGGGTTAGTTTTATAAAATTGAATAAAAATGTTAAGAATTTTCATTTTAATACTTGTTTTACTTTAATTTACCTTTAAAATCCCACTTTTCAAAAAATACAATGTTCTCTACCTGAACAAAGACATTAAGTGTTAAGTTGGTAGCATTCATTTAAGAAGACATTTAAAAAGTAATCATTGATAAAATTTAAGGGTAATTACATGTTTGTCATTTTATGTACAGTTTTTAATAAATATTACCATATTATAATAATCAAGTCTGATTTATTGATTGCCTTTCTTCCCTACTCTAAAGCCTGCATATCTGGTGATATTTTAGGGTTATTCTGGTGAGTTTTCTGTCAAATGTCATAATACACTTTTCCATAATAAAACAAACGCTTTTAATTCGTTGTTATACAAGTTTTTATAGTTTTTAAAGCTTGCTAAAGTGTTTTCGAGTTACTTAATACAAATATTCTGTGTTTATTGAATATAAGTAGTAAAGTTTTCGTGCACTATGGAACAAATAATCGTTAAAAAAGAACTTGTCGACAATTTCGATGGAACAAGTACATCTACTGACCAGGAAACGCGTTTAACATCTGGGATAGCAATAAAACAGGAGATCAAAGAATTGGATGATGGCGACAAATCCATGGTTTACGATGAATCGGGGGTGAAAGTAGAATCGGAAATGTCCCCAGATGTAGAAGACGATTTTGATGAACCCGAGCTAGTTGAAATAAAATACGAAGACGATACGTTTCTTGGCCAAGGGTAAGCATGGTTGCCACTTCATGCATTATCACCATGGCAACAGTTGTTTGATTGTTGACATGTTGAAACATGCTTGCTCTTGTTGCAAAACAGCCTGCTTGTTTTAAGTTTTGAATAAAGGTGTTTTAAGCTATTTTAAGTAATTTTAGATCTGAAATCAACGATGGTGATGAAGAAAGTGACAGTTGTGATGATGATGAGGAGGAAGGAAGGGAAGGTAAGTTTTCTGAAGAAGATGATAAAAATTCGTCACGCAATGAAGAAAAAGGTGGGGATGAAGACATGTTTGAGACGAAAATTGAGGTGGAATATCATGGGGTTCAACGTGATGATATGAGTGGCAATAAAAAGTTGTTTAAGTGTGAGATTTGTTTTAAGGAACAAAGAACAAAGAGGGGTTTATTTGACCATAAAAAGTATGTGCATGGTAAAGATAAACTGAAAAAATTTAAATGTGATAAGTGTGATTTTGTGACCCTGAAAAATAGTTCTTTAAAAAGGCATTCAAAAATTCACGACAAAACAAGTTACTTAAAATGCCAATTTTGTCATTACAAGACTTCCGAAATGATGAGTTTAAATGCGCACCTTCTAAGCAAACATAAAGAAGAAAATAAAACAAAAATAACAAATAAAATTCACGAGTGCTCTAATTGTTCGTATTCAACCGTTAGAAAATCAAGTTATAACAAGCACATGAGTAGATGTTTGAAATTAAAAAACGTTAAATATTACGAATGTCATGTTTGCCCCTATAAAACTATTTATGAACATGTTTTAACACGTCACACAAAAATCCATCATAAAGTAAAATTCAAATGTTTATTTTGTGAACATGAAAGCAATATAAAGCAAAGTTTGGACAACCATATTTTAACTAAACATTCACATTTGTTAAATGAATCCAATCACAATTTCATCACTGCCAAAGTGCATGGTTGTCAACACTGCAAATATAAAACCACCAATACAACTTCATTAAAATTGCATACAAATTATTATCATTGATTATAAAATTTAGGTTTTCCAATGTTTGTCATTTAATAAATATTAAAAATTTTCATTTTAATACGCGTTTTACTTTAATTTACCTTTAAAAATCCCAAATATAAAAAAATACAATGTTCTCACGATAGTGTTAAGTTGGCAGCAGTGCCATACAACATAACATCACTATCACATCGATAATAAAAAAGTATTCCTTTCTTTTTCATTTAGGTATGGCATTATATTTTTCAAAGAAAACGGTTTTGTTATAACATATATGCCCAACCTCCCAAATAGCATTTTTACATTGCAGTCTTAAAAAAATTTTTGTTTATGTATTTGTAAGTATAAAAAATAATAAAAATACTCGTAAATAAATTTTTTAGAATATCTAAACTTGTGTTATTATAACCTATAATTATTTTTTCAAGTAAATCAGGTAGGTATTAATATTGTACGGGCTTCGGCGTGGTCGCAATTTGCACTCTCTTCCCTACTCCAAGGTCTGCATGTTCGCAATTCAAACTATCTAGTGATATTTAGGGATATTCTAGGGAGTTTTCTGTCAAATGTCAAAATAGTCATTTCCATAATAAAACAAGTGCTTCTAATTCGTTGTTTGAGTGTTTATACAGGTTTTTATTGTTTTTAAAACTTGCCAAAGTATTTTCGAGTTACTTAGTACAAATATTCTGTCATTATTAAATATAAGTAGTAAAGTTGTCGTACACTATGGAGCAAATAGTCGTTAAAAAAGAACCAGTAGACTATTTTGAAAGTGACATATCGTTGAATTACGAACATAAACTACGAGAAATCAAAGAAGAATTGGATGAAGAAGATGATAAAAATTCGCCATGCAATGAAGAAAAAGATGAGAATGAAGGAGTGTTTGAGACTAAAATTGAGGTGGAATATCATGGAGTTGAATTTGGTGATATGAGTGGCAATGTAAAGTTGTTTAGGTGTGAGATTTGTTTTAAGCAATATCAAACAAAGAAGAGTTTACTTCAACATAAAAAGTATTATCATGGTAAAGATAAACTGAAAAAATTTAAATGTGATAATTGTGATTTTGTGACTCCGACAAATAGTACTTTAAAAATGCATTTAAAAACTCACGACAAAACAAGTTACTTAAAATGCCAATTTTGTCATTACATGACTGCCAAGTTGATACATTTAAATGCACACCTTCTAAGCAAACATAGGTTAGAAAATAAAACAAAAATAACCAGTCAAATTCATGAGTGCCCAAATTGTTCATATTCAACTCTTAGAAAAACAAATTATGATAGGCACATGAGCAGATGTTTGAAATTAGAGAATGTTAAATATTACAAATGTCATCTTTGCCCGTATAAAACTATTAATAAATATAATTTATCACCTCACATAAAAATCCAACATAAAATAAAATTAAATTGTTTATTTTGTAAATATGAAAGCGATAAAAAACGAAGTTTGGACAACCATATTTTAGCTAAACACTCGCATTTGTTAAATGAATCCAATGAAAATTTCATCACTGCCAAAGTGCATGTGTGTCAACAATGCAACTTTAAAACTACTTTTTTATTTAATTTTAAAATACATTTAAAAAGGAAACATTCGTTAAATAATGTTTAATGTAAAAAAAAATAAACAAAATTACATTTTAATACGTGTTTTACTTAAATTACCTTTAAAAATCCCAATTATAAGAAAATACAATGTTCTCTACCCGAACAAAGACATTTCATGCACGTTAATCCATCTGTCAGTTGGTGTTAAGTTGGAAGCAGTGCCATAACAACATAACCTTGCGATATTTTGTCATTAAATTACCGTGTTTTTATATTTGCATAGTTGTAATATGAATTTTTATAAAGTGG